GAGGATCGTTTGAGCCAGGAGTAGGTGCCTGTGAGCTAGCTGAGCGCCAGGGCACTCACCTCTAGCCTGCCAACACAACAGAGTGAGACTCATGTCTCATAAAAAAAAAAAAGGGACAGATGACCTAAATCTCGCCTTCCAGTTCTTCTGAGCCTATAAGCACAGCACGCTGACTCTGTAGCAACGTAGAGACAGGTCACACGGTTCACAGGGGGTCAGTAAGGGGACCATCGTCCCACTGGTTGGACGATCCAAACGTCTTATGTTCAACACAGGTGCGTGAGTGTGTGTGAGTGTGCGTGAGGTGTGCGGTGAGTGTTGGTGGGCTGGTGCACTTGCCACCCGGTGTGCAAGAGGGCTCAGATAGCACCTCCAGCAGTATATACTAAGTGCTCCAAAAGCAGGCTCATCGCATGGATGGATATGCACGATGGTGCCATATGGTGGGTTACTTTGTGGGGAAGAATCTCCCAAATTGGAAGGAGAAAAAAAGGAGAAACAAATGTGCCCCTCGATGCTTTTGATTTATGCAGGTGTTAGAATCAGCGGGTTATGGGAATCTAAATCTGGGGACTTCCCTGGTTCCTCGTGCTCGCAGGAAATAGACCAGGAAGCGCTGCGCCTCCGTGGCAAATTGCAGTTAAGAACACAGAAATCCAACCTCACTGTGTGGTTGGGTTATCGGGACGCTTTGGGTGAAATCCAGTCGTATTCTCCGAAGTTAGTGGCGGGGACGCTGGCTTTGGAGGCGTGTCTGGAATAGACGATCCGATTGGTGTTTCCAGCGAGGTTGGGTCTTGTCTTCTTAGCTCAGATGCCAAGGTCTGGGTGCAGCCGATCGGTGGCAAACAGCAGCTCGGGAATGTTAAGTGGCTTCCCAGGCAGGCGCCGTGGACAGGCAGCCATGACCTGACGACAGGCGCATGGGCCAAACCACCACCACAAGAATTAGGGAAGCCAACCCCGGGGGGACTGGGTGACGAGAAATAAAATGCAACAAATCTCTCTGGGGAAGGGGACGCGCACTGGAGTCCCGAGAAGCAGAGGCGGAAGGCGGCCGGCCTGCTGGACGTCACCTGTCGCTGGTGTCCTGGAAGGAGGGGTGCACGGTCCGGGGAGGGACGGCCTGCAGGGGACAGCTGGGCTGTGTCTACTGACCTTTCACAACGGGGCATGAGAGTGGCCGAGACCAACACTGTGTGCTGTGCTAGCACTGGAGTCGCCCAGCCCGGCCACCGCCCTGCTGCTGAACTGACCGCGTCACTCGCTCGCTTTGCCCTGCGGTGATGTGACCCCGATGTCCAGGTCTCTCCCCCTTCCAGGGAGCCCTGCGCCCCTCCAGGGAGCTCGAGAAAGCTCACCCGGGAGGCGGGTGCTGTCGGTGGTGGTGATGACTGTATTAGTTTCCTAGTACCATAAGCTGAGGGGGCGTAAACCACATAAACCTGCTGTCTCACGGTTCTGGGGGCTGGAAATCCAAGTCCAAGTTCAAGTTCAAGGTGTTGGCAGGGTTTGTTCCTTATTCTTCACACTGTGTGCCCTCTGCCAGCGCCTGTTGCCGTGTCCAAATTTCCCCTTGTTTTACCGTGTTTCCCCGAAAATAAGCCCTACCCATAAAACAAGCCCCAGCAGGATGTCTAAGCATGTGCACAATAGAAGCCCTACCCCGAAAATCAGCCCTAGTGATGGGCGTGGCTATGAAAATCAGGCCCTCTGCAATTTGCAGAGGCCAGCGTCTTCCTGGTCTATTTCTGCTGAGCACGGAGGAAGCAGGGAAGTCCAGGATTTAGATTCCATAACCCGCTGATTTCTAACACTGAAAATCAAAAGCAGCGAGGGGGACATTTGTTTCTCCTTTTTTTCTTTTCAATTTGGGAGATTCTTCCCCAAAAGTAACCCACATAGGCACCATCGTGCATATCCATCCATGCGATGAGCTGCTTTGGAGCACTTAGTATATACTGGAGGTGCTATCTGAGCCCTCTTGCACACGGGGTGCAATGCACACACGCACACACACACGCACACTCACGCACAGGATGTCTAAGCATGTGTCACAATAGAAGCCCTTACCCGAAAATCAGCCCTAGTGATGGCGTGGCTATGAAAATCAGCCCTTAGTGATGGGCCGTGGCTATGAAAAAATGCAGCCCTAGTGATCGGGCAGTGCGCTTATGAAAATCAGCCCGAGTGGTGGGGCCGTGGCATGAAATCACCCTAGTGGTTGGGCGTGCGCTATGAATCGAGCCCCAAGGATGGGCGTGGCTCGCGCAGCGCATCTGCACAACCCATGAACGTGTATCACCAGAGCTGGGAAGAACAGCCGAGCCAGCCTTCTCAATCTGCCCAGTCGTGACAGCTTGCATATCCCCAGAGGTGACGCGGAAAGGTGCGGCGAGCCACCCCAACCAAGGTCGGCCCCCCTGTCCAGGTCCCGGCAATCCCTGTGGCGTGCTATCCAAGCCTGAGGCTTTGAGGGGAAAAATAACACATGCCCTGAAAAATAAGCCCCCAGTGGTGTCTTCCTGAGGAAAAATAAATAGCAGACAACCTTTTCTTTTCTCGGGAAGCAACGGGTCCAGTAGGACACGGCCACACTGGATTAGAGTCCACACTAAAGACATCAGCTGCAACTACCCTGTTTCCAAATAAGGTCCTGTTCACAAGTAGTGGCCGGGGTGGGGTTAGGACTTCAACATCTTTTATTTATTTATTTATTTATAGACAGAGTCTCACTCTGTCACCTGGGCTAGAGTGCCGTGGCATCAGCCTAGCTCACGGCAACCTCAAACTCCTGGGCTCAAGCAATCCTCCTGCCTCAGCCTCCTGAGTAGCTGGGACTACAGGCATGGCGCCACATGCCCGGCTGATTTTTTACTATATATTTTTAGTTGGCCAATTAATTTCTATTTATAGTAGAGACGGGATCTCACTCTTGCTCAGGCTGTCTCGAATCTGACCTCCGAGCGATCCTCCCGCCTGGCTCCCCAGAGTGCTGGGATGACAGGCGTGAGCCACCGCGCCCGGCCGACTTCAACATCTTTTAAAGGGGACACCGTTCAACCTGTGACAACGATGGGGATGACAATCATAGCAGCTAATATTTATTCGTTTTTATGGTGTGCCAGGTTCCGAGGATTATGTCATTTCGTATCGCTGTGACCCTGTTAACAACCTTGGGAAATAGGCACGTTTATGACTCCTATTTGGAAGATGAAGAAAATTAAGCACAGAGAGGTTAAGCAACTTGTCGCAAGACACAGAGTAGTAAGAGGCTGAGCGATGACTCCCAAGCAGGCGGCTGGCGCCCGCGTGCCAGCCCCTCACCCTCCGTCACCTGGGTCCCCTAGCGCACCTGGGCTTGGGTCACTCCCACATCTTGTTGGTGTCCCTTCCTGCTTCTGTGAGGGGAGAGCTTGTCCCCGGGGCGGGGGGCTGGGTGTGACGGGCTTTGTAAGGGCCCGGGGAGGTTCTGCACCCAGCAGATGAGGGGTGACTACGGGAAATGAAGAAGGCGGTCCTGGAGTCAGACTGCACAAGCCTCGACGCCTGGGAAGGGGACCCCAAGGCCAGTGGCAGGCGTGACTGCCGCCTGTGCTTCTTTGGCGTGGCGAGGGTTGGCCCGCACCCTTTCCCACCCCCCCGCACACCCCAAAGTCGCCCCAGGGGTAATCAGATTAGAGAATTAACCAACTCCCACTTCAACCAGCTCCTTGGTGAAAAGACCAAAGAGCCTACATGCCCCTGCAGGGGGAGAGGGGAAGGGCCAAAGTTCAGGGAGGAGAGGAGAGAAGGAAGCATTTTATACTTCTGTTGTTAATGAAACAACTTTTAGGCTGAGTGTTGCGGCTCACGCCTGTAATCCTAGCACTCTGGGAGGCCAAGGTGGGAGGATCGCTCAAGGTCAGGAGTTCCGAGACCCAAGCCTGAGCAAGAGTGAGACCCCCCGTCTTCTACTATAAATAGAAGAAATTAATTGCCAACTAATATATATATGAAAAAATTAGCTGGGCATGGTGGCAACATGCCCTGTAGTCCCAGCTACTCAGGAGGCTGAGGCAGGAAGGATCGCTTGAGCCCAGGAGTTTGAGGTTTGCTGTGAGCTAGGCTGACGCCAGGCACTCACTCTAGCCTGGACAACAAAGTGAGACTCTGTCTCAAAAAATACAAAAGAACACACACTGGCCGACTGTGAGACTGCAGGCCACCCGTGCCAGGAACCAGTCCCTCCAAGCGGGCCTCCAGGGCCCTGCAGTGCTCCTCCAGCTGGGAGAGGGGCTGCCCAGGCCATCCTTGGGGGTTGTGCTCTGGCCTGAGCTGCCCAGCCCTGGGAGCGACCAGCTCCCGGCCTTTCCGCTGCTCCCCGCCCACCCGCGCTCGCTTTGCCCTGCGGTGATGTGACCCCGATGTCCAGGTCTCTCCCCCTTCCAGGGAGCCCTGCGCCCCTCCAGGGAGCCCGAGAAGGCTCACCCGGGAGGCGGGTGCTGTCGGCGGTGGTGATGACTCTATTAGTTCCCTAGTACCACAAGCTGAGGGGCTTAAACCACAGAAACCTGCTGTCTCACGGTTCTGGGGGCTGGAAGTCCAAGTCCAAGTTCAAGTTCAAGGTGTTGGCAGGGTTTGTTCCTTATTCTTCACACTGGGTGCCCTCTGCCAGCGCCTGTTGCCGTGTCCAAATTTCCCCTTGTTTTACCGTGTTTCCCCGAAAATAAGCCCTACCCATAAAACAAGCCCCAGCTAGCTATAAATAGAAGAAATTAATGGCCAATCATATATATAGAAAAATTAGCTGGGCATGGTGGCACGATGCCTCGTAGTCGCTGACTCAGGAGGTGAGGCAGGGGGGGAGGGGATCGCTTGAGCCCAGGATTAGGAGGTTGCTGTGAGCTAGGCTGGACGCCACGGCACTCACCCTAGCCTGGGACACAAAGTGTGAGACTCTGTCTCCAAGAAATACAAAAGGAAGCACGACCTGGCCGACTGGGACTGCAGCCACCAGCTGCCGAGGAACACAAGTCCCTCCAGCGGCTCCAGGGCCTGCAGTGCTCTCCAGCTGGGAGAGGGGTGCACGGCCCATCCGTTCGGGGTTGTGGCTCTGGCTCTGGCACTGGCCCAAGCCTGGGGAGCGAACCAGCCCTCCGGCCTTTCCGCGCTCGGCCCACCATGCATTGCAGGAGGCCGCGTCTCACGTGGTCTATTTCTGTCTGAGCGGAGGAAGCGGGAAGTCCCAGGATTGTTTCCATAACCCGCGATTCCTGAAATCAAAACGCATGCGATGGGGACATTTGTTTCCTTTTTCTTTTTCAATTCTGGGAGATTCTTCCCAAAAGTAACCCACATAGCACCATCGTGCATCATCCATCCTGCGATGAGCTGCTTGGGCATGTAGTATTACTGGAGGTGCTATCTGCAGCCTCTTGCACACGGGGTTGGCAATGCACCACACGCAACACACACGCAACTCACGCACACTCACCAACCACTCACCTCACACACCCTCCACGCACCTGTGTTGAACATAAGACGGTTGATCGGTCCAACCAGTGGCGATGGTCCCTTAACTGACCCCTGTGGAACCGTGGGTGCCTGCTCCTACGTGTGTACAGAGTCAGCGTGCTGTGCTTATAGGCTCAGAAGAACTGGGAGCGTGAGATTTTAGGTCATATGTCCTTTTTTTTTTTTTTTTTTTATGAGACAGAGTCTCATCTCTGTTGCCCAGGCTAGAGGATGGTGCCGCTTGGGCGCAGCCTACTCACAACAACCCATATCCTGGGCTCAAGCGATCCTCCTGCTCAGCCTCCGAGTAGCTGGGACTACAGGCATGCGCCACCATGCCGGATCATTTGTTTCTATATTTTTAGTTGGCCAATTAATTTCTTTCTATTTATAGTAGAGACGGGGGTCTCGCT